CCCCTTCCATACGTCCTCTACAACCTTGACCCATTCCGTAGGTTGTCTACCCCTGTTTTTGTTTGCCTACTTCGCCTCCCATACCATTCTCGGCAACCTCTCCTCTCCCATCCCGCACATGCAATACTGCCAGGTCAGCTTCCTCGCGTCTCTTCCCGACCGTAGGGATTGGATCCCCAATTCTGCCCTCACGGCTGCATTACTTGTGCGCCTGGAGCATCCTAGGATGGTTTTCGCTGCTTTCATCTGCGCCGCCTCGAGTTCTCTCACTACCTTCTTGTTTCCTTCCCATACTTATCCGGCGTACTCTAGCGGCGGTACGATTACGCTCTTCAAAACCGTCAATTTGATGCGTGTATCGAGGTGCCGGTTTGCGAGTATTGGGTGCAGCTTCCCTGCTCGTGCTTTGCCCTTTTCCGCTACCTTGGACATGTGTGCATTCCACGAGCAGTCTTTTGCGATCTCTACTCCGAGGTATGTGTACTGGTCCACTTCTGGGATCTCTTCGATCCCCCACTTCCATCTATGCTCTACCGGTTCCTCCTTGTTCTCGCTGCATACCATGACGGCACTCTTCTGAACGTTGGCAGACAATAGACTGTTTCGGCAAAAAAGTTAGATATACCGGGGTTTCAGATTTAGAAATTAGCTTCGGAAGTTTCTGGGAAGATTATTCAGTGGCGAACAGTCTCAGATTTAAGTAATTTGTGACGCTGTGTGACGTGAATTCTAAACGCGCTCTGATTGGGTGACTGACACAGCCTGATGGGGAGACCCACCGCACAGGATGCGCGGCCCTGCGGCCCTACGCCACAGGGAGCAACGAGACAACGAGACACACGACACATGACACCAGCACCACACACCTGGTAACACTACTGGAGTCATCCCACCATGTCACGTCTGCGCATCCATGAGAGGATGGCGCGCAAAACACGAGCGCTTGTGTACATGCAAGGCCGACAGATGTACGAGGCCTGCACCGACATGTGATTGGCATATAGCATGGCCTTCATCTACACGATGGCGAGTCTGATCACAGACGATGTGGCAACAAGCTTGGCACGCCGAGACGTGACAAACTTCTTCAGCCCCCAAGACTGCATCAACTTTCTTCGCTTCACGCAACCGCAGGTAGGTGCCCCCCAGTTGTCTCGTGTCCATCTCCTAGCAAGCACCTTGCTAGCTTTGCTGTAGCCTACTGCTACACTGTT